ATTTTGAAAAAATTTTCAAAGTTTCCCCGGCCCTGCGGTCGGGTCAATAAGGTCTTGGTTGGTTGGGTTTTTACCCTACCAACCATCAACAAAACCCAATAAAATTGGGGTCCCCCCTCCCCCCCCCCCCCGGTCTCCAACCACTGACTCTCCCGAGTCTTCCGCGGAAGGGATCGTCCGGCTTCCAATAGCGTGATAGTGTGCCAGGGTCTCAATTTTTAGTGTTTGTTTTTCATAAAACACAGGTGCTTTTGTACAATGTAAAGTCCCCGAAAGGGCACTTACGTGTCATCTCCTACCAAAGGTACCCATGGATATCGACAAGACTATTATTTGCCTCTTCTATTCGGCCTGGTCTGATTCGACTTTCGACAGCAATCTCCCCATTTCTGTTGCCGGAGACTCGACTTTCTAAGGATGGGCGCTTATACAGATCTTCTGTCATACTGATTATCATGACCTTCTTTTGAGCCTATGTCAAAACGCTACCACGTCTAACGATCAATAGTATACAACATAGAGCAAGCTAAAGTAGGGCTCCGTACATTTGGTCCCTTGAAAGCAATACTAGTCTAGTCAGTCTGCACAAATAGATACTAATACATGTAGCAATCCTACCTCACCGCTCAAGTGATTCACCTACAATTCCTGCAGGATTCCTATCAAATACATCACATAGGGGTGTCTTTTCCGTACCGAAACTGCCTAGCCCCATATAAATCTTTTTACAAATCGGTACGGCCCACCGAACACGGTAGTTACCATACTGGTATCATACGGCTCTTCGATTATCTCAATTTCCAACCCTCTTTTCTTTCCCTTGTGCCTATTCACTTCCCCTCTCCAGACTCTGCTTCACCGTTACTTGATTTTTTTAACTGCAGATCCTATCCAACGCACAGCTCATTATTGAGGGGTTCCTAAAGACGCCTTCTCTTCCACCCTAACCCACACCCGCACCGCGATCTACCTTCTCCGTGGCACAACTTTGTCTCTTCGCCGTGAACCATTACGATTCTGGTCGACTTACGATTTACGACGAAACGAACACCGGAAACACCCGCTCAAATATAATACTTTAACGCTTGATTCTTTGATTTCCGTGAAAGCGTGGCAACACCGGGGATTCAGCAATCGAATATCTGTTAGCCATGGCATCAATGGATGCTCTAGGGGCCTTCACCTATATGAGAGACAATCTTCCTGCATGGATCACCCGCGTCTCAGAGCTTGCTACACACACCCACAAGAGACACGACGAGTACTCTGAAGCTTACAGACGCCACGTAAACTTCAAGCCCCGCCGACGGAAAAATAGCTCGGTTTGCTCCATTCATACCGATGACCTCGTTCCGATCGCACAAAGAAAGAGTCCCAGCCCAGAACCTGTGGTAGTTGGGACATCGCAGGATGCGCCCGAGCAAGGCCAACGTTCAGATCGCAAGCGCACCACAGATGAGGCTCCATCAGTCGAGTCCAATGAAGAATACAACTCGTTGGTAAGCACACGGCACAATGTCATCATCGAGTATGATGGCCATACACAACAAACACTTGAGGCAATTGTACGCGATATCGGGGTGGCCAGGAACAACATCAGACGAGGGCAGATGTCATTGATGCCACGTACAGGGCTGCGAGCGAGCTTGTTGAGCAAAGGCGTGATGAATATGCCAAGTGCACTAGGACAGACAGGCCCACTCTCTTGTGTTCGCAGTACTCGACTCACATCTGGGCTTGTCGGTATCTCCGGGACCAGCGCACTTCGGAGAGACTCCCCTTTTGACTATGCAGACAAGCAGCTGGAACTTGCCCATTCGCTTTGCGAGACGGCATCTTACCAAGTCCTTCGATCTGGCGATTGTGGAACGGAACTGGACGGGGTCGAGGAGAAGTTCAAGATGCTCCTCGCGACGGCTATCAACGAGATCGACCGTATCACGGCAGAAAAGAAGCAGCAAGAAGAACAGGAGCAACAGCAGCAAGAAGGGACCGCGGAAGAGGGACCTCCCAAACCGCCCCCTACCCCCTCCGCAGCGCGACTCGCAATGGTTGCTTCTCTTGCAATGAACAAGCCCTCGATGGCCACGGCAGGCACCATTGAAGTCGATGATAACTCGTCTCTCTCGGCTGAATCGATTGATCTCTCTGCATTCCGGTCCTCTCGGATCTGAGTGTACACACGGGCAGCCAGCACTTGACCTCATATTAGCCATTTAGCGTGTGTTGAACCCCTTCCAGCAAAACCATTGCAGCCAGTTGATACCTTCGATCTGTTGAGGCCATCTCTTTCTCTTTGATTGGCCTTGGTTTTTTTTGCCTTTCTGCATCTTTGATTGCGATCTGATTTGTAGTTGCGGGGGCGCATACGATTACACCATTCATTCCCTTGTTTGCGGTCCATGTTCTATTCCTCCTTCTTACTGTCTTTTGATCCCATTTTTGAATATTGCTGTTCTTGTTTAGGATACATACCTCCTGCCTGTCTCTTGCATCAGCTCATGACTCATTCCCAAGGGAGCACGGCGTTTTTATCACTATTTATGTGTTTTCTTCTGTGGCTTGAGTTTCTTCGACCTCTCTGCGTTCATTACACCGATCATTATACCGATCCATTCTGAGTATATATTTATGGCATGAATTTGACTTGTTCGTGGAATTTTTAGCTCCGTTGGCAAACTTGCATGCATGAGGTCCTATGCAACATACAACAAAGAATCGTATTACATTCAAGGCGTAACGGTCCGGACATTCCATGACCGATTGAGTCCAGTTCCACCAATAATGTGGAATGTACTCCGTACAATGACTTCCCTGTAATAATCCCATATTCAGCCTGGAATGTCCCAATGCATGACCGTTGCCGTTCCCTGTCTCGGCACGGAAAGACAACGCCATGCATGTCTTTTGATTGAATGATTCGCTAAGCAAGCGAAGTCGCCACAAGGACGGGCTCCGTTGCGGGTCCGGGAGTCATCGAGTGGTTGATACTGTAACCGTCCTAATTAAGTATAGGCTTAAGGTGGAGATAATGAGTATGTAGGTGGGGGGGATCAATTCTTTGTGCAATATATGTTGTACATACTAACTATCATCTGCGAGTGCATTGCCGCTCAAAGCGTCTTTATTGTTCCAAGCTGCGGATTACAATATACGTATGTACGCATCTTTCAATGTGTCTTTTTTGAGAGGAAATTCAATTAAAATAACTATACTCCGTACAATGTACTAAAAAAAGTCCCTAATCTAGCCATGCGTGCGTGGACATGATATCGCCATGCATGGTCTAGACACAATTTTTTCGGTCTATCATGGATGTAGCAGGTGAAATCATAACAACATATGTTGCTCCCACCTGGCAGGATGTGGGTGCAGGGATCTTGCTTCTCGAATATACCAAAGTACATACATACAATGTAATTATATTCTTTCCCTCTGATTCTATGGACTTCGGCAGCCTCTATCCCTAGGTCTATCCCTAGGTCCTCCTTGGGAAACAGTGGTTCTTTTGAGCATAAGCTCTAAAGATAGTGAAAGATCTCAATCCAACTAATCAAATAGAAATATAAAATGCTATATGCTTATCATCAGAGCGGACACTTGATTCTTATGATATTAATACATACAGTACTCCATACAGTAATTCAGTATGTATTGTACGGTGTATAGACCTCCCGCTCGCCCGTCTCCTTGCCGATCAACACGCTGTCAACTTTACCTTCCCCTTTTGGGTGGCACGGATAATTATTCCAGTTGTTTTTTTCATGGGACAAAGGTACCATGCAGGAGAGGGGGAGAAAGACAAATTTGAGTCTTTCTATAATAGCATTGTTTTCGAGGTTCTGCTGTGCGAAATACAACATACTACAACATATATCGCCGTATATTCAGAAATGCGTCCTACACCTAATAGGAGATGCCGCAATAGATTTACAGTCTACATAGAAGATAACCCAAATTGGTATCATGGCCCCCACCCCTACTAGCCGGAATTGGCGGGTGTTAAAGGATAAGCCAAGCAAGCCAACGCGGTGTCCTACCGGAAGCCCTTAATTAATCCTGGGAAAACAAGTATATTTCCATCGCCCTTGGCGGCATTGGCCCTGTCTCTCTTACTTGGTGCTGGATTTACAAGGATGTGAATCAAGGTGCACATCCTATAGTAGGCTCCTGCCTTGTTTGGAAAGAGGCGATTCTACTAGCTTACTATGGAAGATTCTTCTAATTTCCATTACAGTTGTCTCGGGGAGATGTTAGTACTTCTGGATGTGATGTCTATATTGTGGCATAATCAAATCTCGCTTGTAAGAATACTCCGTGGTGTGCTGGTACACAGCACAAACTTCTGTGCGGGTATTCAATTGTACTCGAAAGAAGCTTACGGAGTACTTGAGGTGAAACAAGATATTTTGGGGGTTTGGGATTAGATACGAGTAAATGACAGTCTAGAACTAGCTGTATCAATGACCTCGGTCTCGACAAAAGTACCTACATGTCACATGTGCACAGGATGTACTTTTGTAAAGTACGAAAGAAGATTGATCGTATCTACAACTTATGACAACTGTAGTGCCTACGATGTACTGTGTAGCGCAAGCCTCGGCAGTAGAGAGCCAGCTTATTTATTGATCGATTGATAATTCTCAATCCGGTGGCCGCATCGCGATTTGCAATAGATCCGAGAAGTCATTTACGATATACGAAGTGAAGTGCCCCATAGAGAAGAACATATACTATATATTCGAGAAAGGTGAGCAACCTTACTATAGTAATTACATAGAATTCTTTACAAACCCAGGAGATGAATGCTTGATAGTCAAGTTGTAGTTTCCGAGGAAGCTATTACCCGGTTCTAGACGCTCTTCTTCAAGCCCAACAACCATGCAAAACAGGCAAGAAATCCATTTAAACATTTTGATATTAAAAATAATAATCAAAAATAGAACTTGATGCATTGACGGGGAATCGAACCCCGGCCACTACTTATCAACACTTCAGGGAAGTATGAAATGGAAGAGTAGTATTCTACCACTGAACTACCAAAGCTGTCTTATTGGTTCTGTCGCCTTATTACGAAATCTGGCATCTAAAAAGTTGAAGCATTAATTCCCTAGTTTTATAGAACTACGAGGTAAAATGATATATATAAATTTGCCGTAACTAGTAAGTGTACAGTGGAGTGCTAAGGGTAACCCACAACAATATCCGGGTTCATAATTGCTTCTTAAAGTCAGCAAAGTAGAGATTGACCGACTTGACCTCTAGGGCTGGCCCTATGGAATGCGCCTACTGAAGTGAGAAGACTGAGGATGATTACTGAGCTGCGAGGACTGGAACTTTACCTTCGGAGGGCCGCACATGGAATGTACTCGATTGTGTAGGGGTGGTGTATTTCGCAGTTGGAAGTGCGGATGACACACTCACTCACTAATTGCATCTCAACCGTGGCATGTGCTTGGGGAATTCGTGTGATCTAGTTAGATCGACGAGAGGCGTGTACAAAGGAAAGAGCCTGCGCTGGAGGTTTACTCAAGCAATCTACTTCGCTGCGTAAGATCAAGTGCTCGAGCTAGGTACTCGATGTTTGAACACCCCAGATTTGATTCACCGTGTTTCTCTACAAGAGGAACTACAAGCGGATCTTACTTAATGGGACATTTTGATGCTGCTGGTGAGCCGGGGTAACTCGGCGAGGTATTCTGTATAAATAGGATGTTTTGGCAGCGTGGATGTCAAGGTACACAACCATCACTATAACTGTAATTTGACATATTTTGATTCAGTATCATTCATGTCCAATCAAACATCAAACGCAACTAAACGGATATCATCACTCATAACCCCTTGTTCCTTCTATTAACCCATTGAAAATGCTCAACATAGCCCAGCCCTGGAATACAGACGGTACGAAATAAGAAAAAGAACAACATAATCAAGTCACAAAAAGCAACATCTCGTCTCACATCTCCTCGAAGGCACAATCAGGATGCATGACGAAAAGGACCTTTCCGTCATTTTGGGCGTCGTCATCGGTTCCATCCGTGAGGCCAGACCCGGAGATACGCAGCAAGAGCTTGTCCTATAGAGTAACTTTATTAGTGACGTTGCTTGATGGAAATTTACGAATATTGCCATAGCAAAGGAAGATCTACTAACCTTAACCATGCGTTTCAAGACCTTGCCTGCCAACTCGCGCTCGCGCTCGTAATCTTCTTTGGTGTTAAGTTCACCCTCAATTTGCTCCAAGTACCAGAGTACAAGATCTTCTTGCTCGACACCCTCGCCCGAGTTCACCTCATCCTCATGTACCCGCCTGACAATCTGGTTCAGGATCTTGGCGTACTTGTCATAGGTGATCTTGGTCTTCTGGCGTTCTGGCTGGGCAGCAGCTTGAGCAGGCTCTGCAACGTCACGCATAGGGCTGTCGCCATCATTATCGCCATCGGCCATATCCTGGTCTTCATCGCCATCGTTGGTGTGAGTAGGTACATCATCTTCAATCTCAACATCATCTTTCTCGACAGTCACGATACTCTGGCGGAGAAGATCGTATGCCTCAATGACGAACTTGGGAACTACCTCCTCGACACAGTTGGCCTTGGCGACAGCCTCAGACAAACGGATCAAAGACTCGAGCTGGCGAACAGTGATGCGGTATGAAGAGCGGCCCACGCCTCCCTGGGCGTCGTTGGAGCGCAGCTCCTTGTATTTCTCGACCAGCAGTGTCTTTGCCTCCTCCGTGAAGACTGGGCGGAATGTGCGTGCGAACCGGATGTAGCGCTGCAGTTGTTCTGTGCTCAGCTCGGGCTCAACAGCCTCATCGCGGTACATGTGTACGTTAACAATGTGGTTGGCCAAACTGCGGTCAACAGACTCCTTTGGATCATCGCGGATAACAAAGAACACATCGAAACGACTCATAATGGGAGCGCTAAAGTTCAAGTTGTTCCGAAGAGTTTGCTTCGGGTCGTAACGACCATTAACAGGGTTAGCGGCAGCGAGAATTGATGCACGGGCATTGAGAGTAGTATGGATACCAGCCTTGGCAATAGAAATTGTCTGCTGTTCCATGGCCTCGTGAATAGCGACCTGATCGGCGATATCCATCTTGTCGAACTCGTCGATGGCACAAATACCACCACCATTCTATAAGGAACATGTCAGCGATGAGCCCACACTCAGTTGGAGCCACATTTGGAACATACCGCGAGCATCAGTGCACCGGCTTCAATGGTGAACTCGCCTGTCTCGGGATCCTTCACCACCGAAGCGGTCAAACCAGCTGCCGTAGAGGCTTTACCACTGGTGTATACTGCACGAGGGTGCAGTGAGCAGACGTATCTGAGTAATCCCGTCAGCAAGCAATGTCTACATATGAGGAGTGGGCAAAACTTACTTCAAGAACTGACTCTTACTGGTCGACGGATCGCCAACAATACAAATATTGATATCACCACGAAGTTTCATGCTCTCAATCGATGTGGACTTGCCGACACCACCAATCAACTGCAAAAGCAGACCCTTCTTGATTTGACGATGACCCCAAATCATGGGGGCAATCGAATCCACAAGCCGAGAGTAAATATAATCCGAGTGCACCAGTCCCTTGAGATCCTGGACTTCAGCCGAGGTAAGACTATGTAGGAAAGCTTCTTGGGCTGATTCATCTCCAAGGTCATCCTCCTGGTTTTGGTTCAAAGAAGCCAGAATATTATTTGACTGGCCACTCAGCTGCTGCTCTGGCTTTTGGCCAGGAGTGGTTGTGTCTGGAGTAACCATGCATGAAAGGAAGGCCAATCGGTAAGTCAGATCACGTACGCCCAGAGACTTCAATCCAGAGACTCCACTACCACCGACCTCGTTGCCCCGGAAGGAGTTGTTATCGCGGACGGCCTCAGGGCGCACACCGGGAAGACCCAATTGACTGACATCAGGAACAACAATCAAGGTGCCTGTAAATACGCAGCGTTCCCCAGCCTTGGCGCGATCAACCATCTCACCACGCAAAATGACATCCATTGTGCGTGGCATACTACCAGTCGGGATTTCGTGCGATGATTCCTGGAGCTTGACTTTTTGCCAATCGACAAATGTACTTTTTCCGATATCCAGACGCCATCCCACGCGGTTGCCGCAGGTCTTATTGGGGCAATCCATTGGCTCCGTATATTTGAAAGTCTGCTCAACATTTGGAACTACTGTCTTGCAACCTTCGCAGATAAAAGTTCCCAGTGATAATTCTGGTCTGACCTCTGAAGTTCTTGTGACAGTTCCAGAGACGGAAAGCAATTTTCCGATCTGATTCGTCCGAAGCTGTCGCAGTCTGGAAACCAAAGGTAGGTTATAAAATGCAAGGGCAAACATTTTGTCGGTTTGCTGGTGGCGAGTTTTCTCGCGGATCTGACGCTCGAGGTCGGGATTATCTGAAACTCCCGCATATGCTGAGGCAACCGAGGTGCTGGCTCGCGAAGAGGCGCTGGCAGTCATTCGGTGGGAGACGAAGTATTCTGGTTCGTACTTGGCGATGAGATTGTGTAGTCCCTTAGTAAGGAAGGGTTGGAACCGATAGTATTGGCTGGCAATGGCATCTGCCAAGACGGGATTATGGATGTGCGTGAAATCAACGTAGAGAGTTGACAGCTCGAATTTTTTCATCCCCTTAATCTGAGCGATATAATACTTGTCACTAAGAAACTCCCCTGATGAGGGCGGTGCAGAAGACGAGGGTTCGTCGATGTATGACTCGAGCAGCTCTTCAAATGCCTGCTGAACTTTCTCTGCCGCCTCATCGACCACCGGCGGCGCCGCAGGGGCATATGGATTCCGCATACGGCTGATTGCCGAACTTCCCGCTCCGACGACTTGGTCATCTGGGAAGGCATTCATATCACTCATAGGGCCATTGCTTTCCGAGCGCCGGGAGCTGGGCAGATTATCGGAGCGGAGGTTTCGATCGCGAGAAGGCGCAGAGCCCAGCTCGGACTGGATCACGGCGTCGAAAAGGGAAGACATGGCAATGAGCTGATGGCCTTAGAATGGCCAATGTAAAGAAGGGTATTAAGCTTCCACGTGTGAGGAGAAAAAGGGAAATGTGGAGAGATGATATCGTAGACTCAGTTTGCTATCTTAGTTTTTCGTGGGTCTCGTTCGCGGGTCTCCTTGGGCAACTAGGGCGCGACGCGAACGCGTATTCGGAAGAACAGTTGATCCTACACCGACGCGTTAAGTGGTTTCATTATGTAAGTATATACGCTAACCCATCTAGGCAGTAGGTCCTTCATCTTCACTACAAATAACATTGAGTGTCTGACCTAGTGTCCCCACTACCGCTCATATCAGGCGTATAAATGTCAAGACCCGTATTTTTCGAGGTCATGGCCTGACTGCTGGTTTGAAACATGTTCATACCTATGAGTGAAGGGCGGACAGACCAGCATATACTTGGAAACTGCAGGTTTGGCCGGTTTGGCTTGTTGGCCAGAATTATTTCGCAGTCTTAATATGAGAGTTGTGAATTTAAGTGGGTCACGGTCATATATCCTCGGTTGTCACTTATTGTGTGGAAGGGAGTATCCCAAATCCCTACTTCATATTCTGGAGTACAACGTAATATATATTTGAAATGAAAAAAAGTTAGTTTTGGTGTCATCAGAGCCAAAATAGTTGCAGAGAAAGTAAAGTCAGGTCAATAATGTAATACCGTTCTGACGTGCATATAACCATTTTAACTAATACTCCGTACCCCGTCTTGGAATTAATTAAATGCCGGTTTATCCATTGGGTAAATGGTTGATGCTTGGCGCTTATATAAGAGCTTCTTCCCCCCGGGGTGCAAGTCGAGCATCTGAAACCATCCTATTTTTTTTCCCTCCCCGGGAATTATACTCCCCTCGCATTGTATTGCCTCGTAAGTTAGACTATTCTGTGCTAGCGTGCTTTCCTTCATGCCCTTTCTTCCGCGCATATTCTCCGTGACCGTCTGACACTTGTCATGACGTAGGACTTTTGTGTCTTGCGATGGTTTCTTCCAAATCCCGAGTCCTTGGCTGGAGGAATCTTGGTGACTATCGGTCGGTTATGCAGTTTTGACCGTTCCATTGTGTCGACAAAGGAAATCTTTGTTTTCGCAGCTCGACATGTCTGAGAACGAGCGACGGTTAGTATCGACACTGACCAGGCCCGGCGCTGGCCCACCGTTGGGCCCGTCTGACACGGATGCATCGGGTATGCCCCCTCTCGCCTTTACGAGCCAATCTCCCAACTCGCATGCACAACTCAACTAAAGCTTCTCGTATAGCACCTTCTGCCTCTGGCCATGGCTCCCAAACTGCCAAACCCGGAAGGCGCCGACGCGCCGCTGAATCGACGAACACACCTCCCAAGAACCAACACTTCTACTTTGTCGATCAGAACTCGTCATCCAAAGAAAAGCGTGCTCATGTTATGCGCCACCATGTACAGGAAAAAAGGAAACAGCGCAAAATGTCGCATAGCACAACCCCCACAGAGCACATCCCAGATTATATCTCATATCCGGCGAAGAAAGAGGCAGAAACTGCTGAAAAGACTGGATTAGAGTCGCGCTCGACAGCTGCGCCAAACTTCACCAATGGGGAAACTTCGGTACGGAATTCGCTTTCCTCTAGTCAAGTACTTAGGCCACAGCCAAGGCTAGACTGTCTAGGTGTCGGCTTAGCCTGCAAAGCATGATGGATCTAGATGCTAATGCCATGGTGTGTCACAGCTTCAAATTCGATTTTCAAATATGAAACCGCAACCTCATGCTCCTGCGCTACCACCCATTGGCTCGCCAATCACGATACTCGATGCCTCGCGAAGGGATCCGTTTTCTAGTCTCCCAATGGAATACGATAATAGCGATATTGAATTGGCTGACTATTGGAGGAACAAGTTGATGTACTGGTCCGGACAAAACCTTCACTTGAAAAACCAGATTTTCCGGACGGCCATGGGACACCCTCTTTCTTTCAAGGCAGTAGTTCTGTCATACTGCGCGCGGTGGAAAGCACAGCTGTACGGCATGTCCGACAGCACCGAAATCCAGCGCCATGTTGGTCAAGCCGCGAAAATCATTGATGACATTACCTCAGGCTCGGTGCTAGTCAGAGCGGATGATCTTGCAATGGCCTTGGGTGGAATGGCCTTACACGAAGGGCGCTTCGGCAGCAAGGAACTGGCCCAGATATATGTAAACCGCGCGGTCCAGGTCATGCGACCGCGAACAGGAAGCAACAAGCCCGTGGAGGTGTTTATTCACTACATCCGATATCTGATGATGCCAGAAGGCCCCGATATTAGTTTTACCGAACAGCAATGGCTGCTCACTTTTTTGCGAGGAGCCGAAGATCTCATGCGGCAACACAGCTCCCCCGAATACCTCCTCGAAGCACCCCATAGACTCACGGCTTTCCAGATGGAAGGTCCTCTATTTTCCCTGCTGTCTAGTGGGCCGCGGCCCTCCCAAGTGCCGCACGAATCTCGTGTATATGTGGTTCGCGATGCGCATACCCAAGAGGTCAGCCGAACGGCGGCCCTCATCTATATTACGGCCGCACTGTGGGATTTCCAGAATTCCCCAAATAAGACCGACCGGTTCCTTCAGTTTTTAAGTACCACGACAAAACAGCACCACCTCGATCGTGATCCAGCTTGCGAAACCCTTTTGTGGTTGCTGCTGGAGGAAGCGCATGATTCTGATTTACAAGACCCCGAACGCGGATGGTCCACTGGCGAGCTGGTCAAGGCGCACAAACGGCTACGGCCTGACCTCCAGTTCCAGTTCAACGAGATTCTCATGAGCTTCTTATCTTTTCAGACACCCATTCGCGGTGTCAATGCGTTTGAAGAGGAGCTTCGAAATAGTTTACATAATTCTCAATGACCAATTTTTATTACTTGGATTCGAGTCAACGCAGCTACTCTGTAGTTACAATTATGTCGACAATGGAATGTCTTGGCAGTACCCGAGTACCAGGATAAGCCTAAGTGTCATTGAGTTCACCGTAGTGGAGATCAAGGGGACCTTGGAAGCTCCGCTGTTTGCCCCGGTTCCAGTTTTCCAGACAATTTGATATTCTTCGTAGTGTATGGATATATTACGTAGGAAAAAAAAGTAGCTATGTTGTACACTTGGCAAAGAAAGATCGGGTAGCTGTGGTGACGCGATACGCCGACTACATATGCATTTGGTTAGCGTTGGGTGGATTTGCTGTGGAGATAGTTACCTCGGCGTTACGCATGCGCTCGGAACTCTCTACAACATACTAATTCATGAAGACCCACCGTGACTTTTGAGATCGATCGTGATGCAATTTGCTGGGCTATGGCTCTAACACTACAATGTGGTGTATATCATTGCAGTATTGGATCAATGCGGGGCCCACGATTCATATCGCAACTAATTCTCTCATTATGGGATGTATTAATATGGCGTAGGAAATGCTGCTTTTTTGTTATTTGGGGGCGCAGCGGAGGTTTCAAGTTGTGAGAATGTCAACCCATCTTAGGGCTCGCTAATTTCACCTACAACATGGTTACTAATTTCGACTTGCCAAGGGGTTTCATGCAACTCTCGGCCCCACTGAACACAGATTCAGGTCAATAGGGGCCAATAGTGCAATCCACTATCCAGCCTTAGCGCTCTCTGTGGCAAAAAATCCCCATCTATACAAGAGTGATTGGATCCAGCGCAAATATGAAATGATCATTCGACGATCGCTTCATGGCTTATCGAATTGGCATGCAATGACACGACCGTAATGATATTGATAGTCGAAAAGCAGAAAGAAAGAAAGCACTAACCCAGAACAACCTGCATGTGCATCGTTTGGGACTCTGATCTGCGGAGACACATTAATATTACTACGGAGTACATACCCCTGGATTCTCCAAGGGCAATAGACAAATTCCCTAAATTCCCTATGACCTTTTTCCATTTCCGAATATGTGCGACCGAGGATTCTGTACGGGGTACAGAGGGCGGAGTATTTCCAAGAAGTTTGTTTTATCCCATAGCATCCCTTACGCAGTTACATCCCTGCTGTCATGATCGCCATGTATGATCAGCTCATTTATCTTGAATAACTGTGGCTGTGGCTGGGGTTCTGTGGCGGACATCTCCGGTCCGAGGCTGGAAAAATTCAATCTCGGATTAAAAAAAGATCTTACGAGGTGATTGGATCAAAGAATGGGTCATTGATTACGACGAGGGGATCTCTGCTCGCATCTCGACCATTGAGCGAAAAGTCTGGATTGCCCACTCGCCACCCATGGATGGACTGTCGCTAGATGTGAGATTAGGTTCGATTCCTGGGAAAAAAAACAAGAAAAATCACGATTGAAAACACAAAATAGGAAAGTAGCCCAAATAACAAAAAACATAATCAAAGATTGTCCAATTACGTAGCCAGATCGCAGATCCTAGTCCTTCCCCTCCCTGCTGGCCATGGATCCCTACTAAACTTTAAGCTTCTCTCGGTCTTTTCCCTCCTATCTTTCATTTTTCTTTCACACTTGGGGAACCCATCCTCCCCTCGACACTTCACACCCGTGGATTCGAAGAGTGTTTTGGACATTTTGAATACACCTTTGCGAATACCTTCACAATGGCCCACGATGCCGTGCACTGGCTGGCCGCCAGGGATACGGTAAGCTCTGTCGAACACCTAGGTAGCCGGTCCTTTACTCACGATACTAGAGCGACGACCCGCAGGACACCACGCCGACACTATCTGGTCTGCTCACCACCCTAATCCCTGCTCTCGTCTCCTTCGTTGTGATGGTGTTGCTCTTCATCATCCTGCGCAAGAGCAATCGCAGGATGTACATGCCGCGAACCTACATTGGATACCTCCGTCCCTGGCAGCGCACCCCCGATTCTCCAACCGGATCCTGGAACTGGATCAAGGCGATGTACCAGTTACCCGACACCTACGTCTTGCAGCATCACTCGATGGACGCCTACCTCATGCTTCGCTTCCTCAAACTGTGCTCCGTGATGTTGTTCGTGGGCTGCTGTATCACTTTCCCGATCTTGTGGCCCGTCAATGCCACAGGCGGTGGTGGAAAGATCCAACTGAACCTTCTGAGCATCTCAAATATCGACGAGACTCAATACGGTCGTTACTATGCGCATTGCTTCCTCGCCTGGATCTATGTCTCCTTCATCTTCTTCATGATAACTCGCGAGCACCTATTTTATATCAACCTCCGCCAGGCGTACCTGTTCTCACCCGCCAACGCGAGCCGCATCTCGTCTCGCACCGTTTTGTTCACAGCCGTTACCCAGGACCTCCTGAATAAGGAAAAGCTTCGCACCATGTTTGGCCGCGACAAGGTCAAGAATGTCTGGATCGCAACCGATACCAAGGAGCTCGAGGAGAAGGTCAAGGACCGCGATGCTGCTGCGATGAAGCTCGAGGGTGCGGAGACCAAGCTCATTGTGCTTGCTAATAAGACGCGCAGCAAGGCTCTTAAGAAGAAAGGCTCGGCCGAGAACCCCGAGACTGACATTGGCGATGGCCAGTTTGATGATGAGTCTGGCTCCGTCGCTGCTCGTTGGGTGGAGGCTAAGAAACGACCCACACACCGTCTCACGATGCTTATTGGCAAGAAGGTCGACACTATCAATTGGGCGCGTTCGGAAATCGAGCGTCTCTCTCCCGAAATCGAGGAGTTGCAGGCCCAGCACCGTGCTGGAGAAACCAAGCTGGTCTCCTCCGTTTTTGTCGAGTTCTACCATCAGTCTGATGCTCAGTCTTCCTTCCAGTCTGTGGCTCACAACCTCCCCCTGCACATGAGCCCTCGTTACATTGGTTTAGACCCTACTCAGGTCATCTGGTCCAACCTGCGCATCAAGTGGTGGGAACGCCTCGGTCGCTACGCTGCCACCATGAGCTTTGTTTGTGCTATGATCATCTTCTGGGCTATCCCTACTGCAGTTGTTGGTGCCATCTCCAACATTGACTCTTTGACCAAGATCGTTCCTTTCCTGAAGTTCATTGACAGCGTTCCGTCATGGATTAAGGGTGTTATTACCGGTCTCTTGCCCACTGTCATGATGGCAGTCCTTCTGGCGCTGGTGCCTATCATCCTTCGCCTGATGGCTAAGTTCGGGGGTGCACCTAGTCTACCAGCTGTTGAACTGACCGTCCAAAACTGGTTCTTCGCATTTCAAGTTGTTCAGGTCTTCCTAGTGGTGACCGTTGCCTCATCGGCCACCAGTGTCGTCAGTAGTATCATTGACAAACCCTCGTCGGCCGCCTCGCTGCTAGCCCAGAAGATCCCCACCGCGTCCAACTTTTACATCTCATATATCATTCTACAAGGATTGTCTTTCAGCGCCGGTGCTCTACTTCAGATTGTCGGCCTGATTCTGGGCAAGATCCTCGGCAGATTACTGGATAGCACCCCTCGCAAGATGTACACGCGTTGGTCAAGCTTGGCTGGTCTCGGATGGGGCACTGTCTACCCTGCATTCACATTGTTGACTGTTGTCGGTATGTTACACGAGTGATCGATTTATTTGTTTATGACACTAACGTTTCTCTTAGCGATCGTCTACTCTTGCATTGCACCGCTTGTCATGGGCTTCGGTACCATTGGTCTATACCTCTTCTATTTCGCCTACCGGTACAACCTGTTGTACGTGTCGAACTCAACCATCGACACCCAGGGTAGATGCTACACCCGTGCTCTGCAGCAGCTCACTGTCGGCTGCTACCTGTCCATGGTTTGCCTGATTGGTCTGTTCGCCATTGGCACCGGTGCCAATACGATGGCTCTCGGTCCCCTGATTCTGATGATCATCTTCTTGATCTTCGTCATTCTATTCCATCTCTCTATGAACAGCGCCATGGAGCCCCTCCTAAACTACCTTCCCAAGAACCTCGAGGCAGAGGAGGAGGGTCTGCTCGCCGCTGAGAAGGCCAACATCAGTACTCTGAACGAGAACTCCAAGACCGATGACATGTCCGGTCCCGGTGGCTCCATCTCGGCCTCCCGTGACAGTGGCGTCGCCAACGTGGACAACAGCCTCGGCAGCGTCGACTCCGCCGAGAAGGGTCTCACCGAGAAGTCGCCGCCAGCGCCCAAGCCGAACTTTTTGACCAAGTTCCTGCGTCCGGACCTGTACCATAACTACCACCAGCTGCGCAAGTTGGTTCCCAGCTCCTCGGAAATCCCTACTTACCCTGCTGAGGTCGAGCGTGACGCCTACTGCCACCCGGCCGTCAGCTCGCACCCCCCTCTTCTCTGGATTCCCCGCGACCCTCTCGGAGTCAGCGCCCAAGAAGTCGCTCACACTTCTCGTGTCATTCCCATCACGGACGAGGATGCCTATCTCGATGAGAACTGCAAGATCCAATGGAACGAGGAGAAGGGAGAGCCCCCCATCTACGAGGAGAAGGTTACCTACTAAGCGCCCTCTCTACTTGCGCGATCTCGATCTAGTTCTCTATTAGAGTGTCTAGCCGATGCTCTGTCTCACCGGCCGGCGAATGCACCGTGTTCATATATCCCTTGTATACAGACATGCCATCGCCGACCTGGTTTCTTCTGTGATACCCGGCCGGCTAGTCCACCTGACTGGCTGGCTATAACCCGGCCATTTTGTTATATTTGTCAATCTAAGATTGGTCTTGAGCTTATGTAACTCCCGGACCTTTCGCTTTTCTTTTCTATAATCTCTTAAAATAATCAATTTCCACTTCGCATGTCGATAATCTATGTTTTGAGAAAGTTAGCCATGGAATTGGAAATCTTGACCATCCTCCACTATTCTTTTTTTTTGGATTACTTATTGCATGGTTTTTAGCCGGCCACTTTTGGTCATGGCTGCAAATGATATGGTCAATTATCTATCTTTTTCTCTGATTCCTACGCAGTCCCTTACTCTATTTCCAAGTAAATATTCTTCTTTGTCTGCATGTCTACATACCGAAGTCATAGCAAACCAAAGTCTTCTATTTTGAGCAATGCGGTCATTGCGCGATCCGATAGCAGTTCGTCGAACTCTCCCAGTTCCTATCTCAGTTGTTCGGATGAAATGTGCTATGCAGTTTCACCTTGTTGGGCTATAGCGTATGTCTTCGCGGCGCCTTTTGGTCACACCCATCGGTCCAGATCCAATGATATACCGTTGGCTGGCTAAGTGGCCGGTGTGAGAAGGGGTTCTCACCCTATTCTCACCCAGTTCTCACTCAGTTCTCACCTTGCTGGCTCGTCGTTGCTGCTGCGATGCGGTTCGGTACCTCCGCTAGATGGGGCGGGCCACCGTCGGGCACCGATAATTGGTAGATTCGCAGCCCCTAAAACAGTTCAAGGCAGTTGAAGATGAGCTCGAAGCACAACAATGCCCGCAGAAGGCTCGACTTGATGCCATAAAGCAGTGCACCACACTCGAAACAATGTCGTGCTCGCTGCCTCGCGGCGCTCAGTGCATGAGAGTATAGGGGCACCTGTCACCACCCCGTTCTGCAACAATGCTCTCTGGGTACATTGAAGAACTCTGACTGGATGGTTTAGAAACGCCAACCTTACAAACGAGGGAGGGACAATCGTCTGCGGCCGAATCGACGTGGGTATCGTATGGACCGAATGCCCAATCTAGCTCCTTACTAGATACAACTCTGGGAGTTCGTTCCGTGCCTTAGTCGGTGAAATCTCCTGTTTGTAAGAACAAGCCCATAGAATTGAGGCGGAGAACGATAGTACGGAAATTTCCGATTATACGTTCATATAGCGGACTCGGCGTGCGCGACTGTGGTTCGAACACCTGGCAAAGTTCAAGGTCTGTTTCGATCTGGGGTAAAGAGACGTTGCGGAATTTCATGAGCCTAGATATTGCGATGGTGGGGGTATGCGCGTCGATATCATGTAGGGAGCGCGGGCGAAGTGTTCTTGCGTTGGGAGGCACGATAAGATCGTTCGACTCTCTTAGAAACGGCTGGTAAGATGCTTGGGATAGGAGTATAGTTGCAGTGGTCCTTAAGCCTCCTATCGTGTCTGCTGTATTTTGTGGTCTATGCGTTGTGAAGTTGATGTATGGACGCAGGTAGACGTTGTCGGTAGCTACAATGTAGTTAATTGATAACTCTGGGCATGTAACTAAGTTAGTTATAGTTTAAGGTTATATAAGTATCTGACTGCACATAAACCAGGCAAGATGGAAAAAGGAAGAATATAACATTCCTATCTAACTAGGTAGTAGTATAAGATATTTTAAATACCCTTTCAGGTATCCTTTCAAAGATCTTTTCAAATTGTCCCTTAAGATGCCTATAAATATCTATTTGGAATGATCAGTGGCATACTGATGCACAATTCCTACAAAAAGGCTTTCTCATACATGATACCAATATGATAGACACAGCCAGCACATCTTATGGGACCTAGACTACCCGTTTTGATCGAAGCAATCATGATCCTGGTTTCATCGTCGGTTCAGGAATTCTTTAGATGAATCTCTCGTGACCTATTGGCCATTCAACCTTTCATCCGATAATGTGGAAGTTAAGGTTCGCTGGTTTGCCTTGAAAACTTACCACGTTGAGGTATATCGGGGTCATCATATTTCCATAAATGCAGCCTCTTTGATAGGCAATTTGCAACGACTGCACCATCGAGTGACATCAGTGTTCTCGTCTTCGTCGCCGAGTGTATCGAAACTTTCTTCACAATAAGGTGTAGACAGTCCGTGATAATAGCCCGTCGCTTGACTCGTGGGGAAGAGGCGTGGATTAGAATTTAAATGCCCCACAGGTGTATTACGTAGACACGTACGTACATCTATGATAGTCCATACTAGTGTAGAGCACAATTTAGTGAATTGCACTGTTCTAAAGTCAAGACATCGCTATCCTAACATATAGATACCATCTCAAATGTTTATTTTTCTCCCATGTAGAAAAATAAGTCTTTCATCAAGATCAACAGATCCTGATTCTAAACCTGATTCCAACATGACAATGGAGAATAGTACCTCGACCATGAAGGAGCATAAGAAAAAAGAGGCGGGATAACCACCCGCTAGAGCAAAAACCAAGGAAATCACAAACTAAAAAAGAAAACGTACCAAGAAGAGAAAAGACATGCAACACAAAACAGAAGGAGGCCATCAAGACATCACGTTAAAGGAACCAAAAAAAAGTCACACACATCGAGGTTGGATCCGAAGGGTATCAAGGGGAAGGGAAACACATTTTGCGACAGGACGAATGGCAAGAAATCGGACAAAAAAAGAACAAACAGACATCATGCATACGGACGAAAGATCACAGAAGGATCAAATAGTTCGAGGGCGCAATGCCTGTATCTCCATTTTGCTTCCGAGCCTGCCACCATCGGCCGCTCACATCAGATACTTCCAAGATCTCGTGCTTGGCGAAGCTGATTTCGTTGGCGTCTTCCGGGTTGGCGTCATATGAGTAGATAGCCTTGGCGCGGTAGGGGTAGTCTGTTGGCTGAGGCACTTCGCCCACTTCTTGCTCGCCGTTACCGGGAGTCTGAGGGTTGGGGGTACCGAATCGAGGCGCAGAGGAGGTTCGTTCGGCGCCGGGCGCACCGCCAGGGTACCCGGAGACAGGGGACGAGGTCTCGAAGCCGCCAAGTTGGGCGGAGGTGTACATCTGCGGGGTATTGCTGGTTGCCATGGTATCTGGGCGGGCGCCGAATGCGCTGGACATGGGGCGACTACCGCGGTAGGAGGGCTCGGCGGGCTGTTCCTTGTTCAGGGCGAAGGAGTCGATGAAGCCGCGGTGAGTGGCCTGCGGTGTGGAGCCGAAGTAGAAGATCCAGACGATGATCATCATGGAAAGCAGGATGAAGCCTGCGCCAGCGGCTTGCATGGATGGTTGGTTTCCGTAGATCAGGTTGTTTGCGCTCGTAGATGTTAGGACGAGGCCACAGGCGAGGTAACCGACGATCTGGAGATATTGTCAGTACTGGAGGCTCGTGTTATCTGTATTCAAGAGTCATCATACCGCCATGCCATAAACGTGGCCTGTGTCCGTGGCAAAGGTCGTGACGAGGCCCACAATAACACAGAACATGTATGAGATGGCCCACCATGAGTAGTTAGGATATTCGGTTTTCAAATCGGCGATGATAGATGCGATGAGAGCAATAAGCCATGCCAGCTAGAACTGTATGTTAGTCAATATCGGGTCATAGAGAAAGTCGAACGAACAATTGAAATCGAGACGGTCATGAGCGCGAACGGATCGCCTAGGATGTTGCTAGGCCGGAATTTGCCCATTTTGGCGGATTTATTGGATTGGGCTTGTGTAAAGGGAATTGATATGAGACGGGCGAAGAAAACGAGGGAATGGCGATGAGCGACGTGCTTTGTATATAAGAGTTGTTGTTGATTGTTGGGTCCTAAACGAGGCGGACGGGAAGGAGTGACTGTGGTTAGTTAGTGTGGGAACGACAGGCGTGATTGCATGGGATGTGGCAATGAATTATGAATGCGACAGTTTATAAAGGAAGCCCGACATCATATGGAGTAGGCAGATATAGGATTAAAGTACCTTGAAACCGAAGTGGATTCAGAGACAATCCGTGGGGATGAAGAGGTTGGGAACCGAAAGAAGGGACCCCTTACAGAGAGGCAAAACCAGCACCAGGCTGGGATAAAATGAAAGAAATGAGAGAGGGAATCAATGAAGATAAAAGAGTGGATAAGATTGAAGGTTGAAAGAGAGGAGAGAGAGGAGAATGATGGAAAAGGAGGAAAAGTGGCAGATACGCTGTGGAGTCCGGGTCCCCCCTGGAAATCGACGGTCTCGATTCTTGAAATTAAGGAAATTAAGAAATTTCAAGGGAACAAGTTGACTTGGCGGGATTATAATCTTATAAGGTACATGACAATTACCTTGGTCGTTTGAATTACTTTATCTCTTTTGATTCATCGCTAATTATAAAACAATGAAAATAGACTTGATCTGGTACAAATCTATAAATATCCCTAAATATCTTAGTCACCTCCGCTTTGTGCACGGCCATGCTATGACTTTTATGACTATAATTCGGGACATCTGAAGTGTCAGAAATATTTCGTAAGTCCCTATAGAACATTTTCGGTCTTATAGGATAACAACTAACACATTATACAGCGACTTCAGTTCGCAAGGTGGTCAAGACGGGTCAGCCTCATCTTGTTTTTCTGTGAAGAATTGCCCGGACCATTTTGGTTTCTATACTCATGAAATTTCGAATACTAACTATACTCCGTACAAGTACATACATACCGAGTCCGCGTTGATCGCATCTGATCAGCACGTGTTAGACATATGGATGATTATACTATCTAATCTATACCTACACCAAATCTACAGATGTCTGCCCGTAGTACATAACAGATAATAAGTATACTGTAAGGAGTGTGTTGTTGGTACCACACTCGCGTTCTTTTCCGAATCGGGACAAACCTTAAGAATGAATACCAAATCCGAAGGATCATAACTATCAAATACCACCCTAAAAGTCGCGAGCTTACGACAAATTCTTGCTCAGCCTAGATGAACCATGGATCCTAGATAAAATAGAGTCCATTGTATCAATAAAAAGTAGGTTTAAGGTAGAAAAGAGGCTTAGAAGTTTATCCAGGGCCCAGGGGACAAAGCCTAAGACTCTTAAGAGTTGCTCGTGATCCAAGGCTCATTTTGTCGTTAAGAAGCCACGTCTGCATACCTTGAAACCATATCTACACAGTACTGATGGATTATGTTCCTCGCTCATGATCCCACAGATCTATTAAGACAGCAGTATCGTCCTCAGGTCCTAGAATTACTGTTTGCTATTATGCCAATTAAAGAAGGATGTAGCCTCTGGTAGCGGACAATATGGTGAGACAATTGACAAATTAGAGTTCTCTTCCGATTAGACACATTAGACGCAATTTGGAGGCCAGCACAATGTTATTAATGCCTTGTAAAGTCTGAAAACAACATTTGAAGAGCAAAAATAGAATAAAAAATAAGTGAGGCTGACCCGTCTCGACCAGATAACCTTGCGAACTGGAGTCGCACGCGCTACCAATTGCGCCACAGCCCCAAGTTGGTGAAGATTTGCCCTATATTTGGCACCATGGGAGTCAAAGATGTATCTGACTTTTTCTCCCCCAAAAGAAAAGGAAAAAAGGAGACCGACCATAGACATTCACAACAATGATAAGTTTGCAGTATGCAGTCAATAGTGAATAACAAGAGTAGATGAGTAGATGAGATATACTCCACAATTATTATAAAAAAATTGGTACTATAGTGAAAAAAAGAAAAAAAAGAAGATGAGGCTGACCCGTCTCGACCAGATAACCTTGCGAACTGGAGTCGCACGCGCTACCAATTGCGCCACAGCCCCAAATTGGTGACATATTTGCCGCGCTGTGGCTTTATGAGCATTGGCTCTCTTAACTGGATTTAGGCATGTATGATTCTGCGTATATACTTCAGCGCTAATGACTTGTTCGTGTTAGCCAACCAACGCACAGCATCATATCATTGATATACATAGGTAACCCAATATCATTGCTAACAAGTCACCAGTCAATATACATACCTTTTCTGCATCACCAACCACAGTTTGCGGGGGAAGAATCCGGGGTAGATTATCACATTCCAATTGAAGTATGGAATGAAGGATATGATATACATGAACAAGTTTTACATGTGATCTAAGCTTTACATATGCCAACTCGGCTTGGCCGAGCTGGATATCATATTCCCTCGTATCCGCAGATGTACTTGAATATCAACGCACATACCTATGTACGTGTGTGTTGTAGATTGATTAATCCCTCTATTTTAAACTTGGAAATATCCCATCTGCGCTATTCAAGCTAAAAGCACGGTACGCCAAAATCAGAGGTATCATAGCAAAAAGCAGACAACCGAAACAACCAGAGGCATCACACTCCTCCAGCTCCTCTCCAGAATAACACCCGAAACAAGCCATTTCGACAAGATTCGCCTCTAAATTTCCTCCTCCCTGCCCTGCCTAACAACCTCTTTCCTCCTAACCTCCCTCTCAACATCCTCAAGTCTCCCCTCCCATTCAGCCCAGCACTCCCCACTCCCAACGAGCCCAACCTCATACCAGCGCTGCAGCACGCGCGCTGTGCGCACCCGCAGCTCCGAGATCTCAGCAGCCTGCTCACTCTGTGTCTGCGCGAGCCTGTCTAACTGTGGCTGTAGGTCGATTAGTGCTGCGGAGCTCTGCGCGTCCGGCACGGGGAGGTCATTTAGCGATGTAAGGCGCGAGGCGGTTTCGGGGAAGGCGGTGGCGTAGGAGAGGACTATTGAGGCTAGGGTTTGGTTTGTGAGGCCTTCGGGGATTTGGTGAGGTGGTGTTGTTTGGAAGAGATCTGGGTTGCGGTCGTCTAGGTGGTTTGTGTTAGTATGAATTGGATGGTTTGGAGTGGATATTTCAGAATCCATTATCCAGGTATCAGAAATGCAATTCAAATAGCGAGAAGGGTATGAGATGAGGGGACGGTGTAGTGGTGAAGCGCGTGTAAATAACATTAACACTGGTCGGTGACATACGGAGTTGTAGAACGTCTCGTACGGCTGGGACCCTTCGACTAAGCCGTTCTAATTCTGATTCTAGCCGTACGAGTCGGCGGGAGACTGTCTCGTCGAGAGATGCGGGCTTTTCGGGCGTGGTAGGGACGCCGGTCCAGTCTGTGGCGCCGGTGAGGAGGTAGGCGAGGCGGCGTAGGCGCGCCTCGAGGAGTTCGATGGTGGCTCCGGCCAGTGCATCACTTTCGAGGGCCATGGCCTATGGAGGTCAAAGATCAATTTGGGGAATTGTGGGAGGAATTAACAGAGAAAGGGTGCCTGAAGCTTGGTGAGGTGCAAACATGGCAAAATGTGGGGACAAGCTTATCAGCCGTAGAAACCTCCTGAGGTCGATGTAGACTTTTTTATGCAAGACTATGTCTTTTTAATATGGGTTTCTTCACACGAGACCGATACTTAGGAGTTGAATAGGAGTTGAGGGTTTATTACAATCTGATATTTGACATATCTCAAGCTTGACATTGCTCTACAGTATCTACACATTCATCACTCACTCATTATTCATGTGCTTCCTTCTCCGCATGCTTCATTCAATCTACTTCGCATGCTTAAGATGATTTGCCATTTCCTCATCATCAGCACTGTTCCACGCTAAATCCACTTGCGAGGCAGTGAACGCCGTGGAGTTATTTGCAGTGGCAGGATGGCCCAAGAGACTCGCTCCATCCTTCTCCTGCATCTCTTGGCTGGGCTTTGGCTCGTCGTCGAACGCGGAGACCTCGTAGTCAAAAACATTCACCTTTGTGGACTTCTCTGACATTTCAGGCTGCTGTTCTTTGGGCTGAGTTTCCACGTTGTTCGGCTCTGCCCAGGGATCTTCCTGGTCACTAAAGATTATGGTAGGGGTATTCTCGAATTCGCCCCCATAAGCATCATTGTCCCTGTTCACGAAGCCCTTTTTTCGGTTAGCCGGGGACCGCATAACGATCTGATAACACTAGTGCATCTTACCTGAAGCTGTGACGGCGCAGGATCCACTTTTGAATTCACTGCATTCTCGCTCGCATAAACAAGTAAGACAGAACTCCACTCTTCACGAGCGGCTTGGAGGACTTCAATCTCCTGAACTTTCCGAACAGTGTAGCCAACAACCTCGCTATCCTGTGTAGCTGCAGTGTTGCCTTGGGCCTTTCGTTTCTCGGCTTGTCGTGTTTTTCCATCTTCCCCTGAGAAGCTGATACGCCACCACTGGTAGTCATTGTTGTTTTCGGTCTCCGAGTCCATATCCATCAAGTGTCCCGGAGTAGTCGTTCTAGGACTTGATAAAACATAAGTCACATGCGGTTCAGTGCATACACCTCGGAGTGTATACTTGTGGAAAGGAGGCTCGGAAGGTGATTTGGGAGGTTCGATGAGTGTCTTTGATATCTCACGAAGAGACTCCATGGCACTCTGCTTTCTAATTTCCAGTTCTGTGCTCATATGATTAGCCAACAGTATGAGCACGGCAGAAACGGCTATCTTCACCTTTGAGTTTAGCTTCTATGTTCGTAGCGATTGCTCTCAATTCCTCTGCAACTCGCATTGTCTCTGCACCTGCCGCTCCTGAATCAGACTGATCAGACTCGCCCACTTGCTCGGGTGTAACCACTGGCACCGCCTGGGCAGCTTGTTCGAGGAGTTCCGTGATCGTCGAGTTGCCCACGGGGTCCCGTGGAATTGTATAGCGATGTATGAGTTGTTCGAGTTTCAACACATCTCCCTGTATCTGTTGTCGTTTTGCACGGAATTCACGGGAGAGATCTCGGCAGCTGCTAAGATACCGATCTGGGTAGAACACAGAGTGAATATCCACACCAACAGCGTTTGGTTTTTGAAGAGCATCAAGTCTAATGACTAGCACGTCTGCTAAGTGTTCAAGCCATGTGTCATCAAATTCCTTCCCCGGTCTGTCAGACCATAAAGCTGAATCCAAAACGTCATAGAGCGTTTGATCATTGTCCTGCTCAACAGGAGGCTCAAAAGTGAAGAGTTCCCTGGTGATGGGCTCAACAAACTCGTCGAAAGTTTCTCTCTTGTATGCATAGGTCGTGAATATGGTTGTCAGTGGATTTTCAGGATCTGCCTGGATGGCTGCACCATGCCACGCTTCCAAAAACCTGGTGACAATCTCCTCCGAATCAGCCGATAAGGATGACATGCTATTGATTTTTGCTAAGCTGTCGCTGCTGCCAAAAGCACGTTTCGTGGTATCCATAAAAGCCATCAAGCGCTGGGTCTCATGAATGATATCGTCCCAGTCGCTATCCCCGGTCTTACCATCATTCACCGTGACAATCTTCGGCAGGTTAATTGGTTGCCCGTTCCACCACTGCGGCTCATGGCCGTAGTCAAACAGTGGTTTATTCCGTAAGAGCAATGCTTCTCGCGCGAGGGGAATACTGTGGAGAATCGTCAAGAGTCCTCCTAGGTAAAGGCCGTCGGTGTTGGGGCGGATGAACGCAGGCTCGCCCTCGACTCTTTTGCGGTCTTCCGGATCTGGGCTAATCATGACTTCTTCGGAGGATGTGTTGAATAGGGTCATCGCCCAAGCACCTTCCTCGTAGTGATCCCGAGTTGCTTTGTTGAACTGCGGCTGTCTATGCGACGTCACCCCGGTTTCCTGCTGCCCCATGTCCGAATTTAATGACATAGCAACTGCCTGCTGTAATTCTTTTTCTTCGCGTTCTGCCAGACTGAGCCCATGTCCGGAACCTTCTATATGGTCAAGTAACCGCAAATTAGTACACTTCTTGCAGTTGAAGCGTGAAGACTGTGATACCTTTCGGAGCGATCGCGACAGAATCTTGATACCCAGCGTTTTGTTCCGAGTCACGTATATCTACTCTGGAAGGAGGACGAGTGGGCGGTGCCGTCGGTGGCATTGGTGGCGCATTGTCTTGTTGAGCAAAATCCCATGCTGAGGCGGGGTATGTTAATTCCCAGTCCGAAGTCGCATAAGGGAGGTTATCTTACAAGAGCCTCCGTTATCATTCCAGTAACTAGTTATTGGCTTGGCGGTGTCAGATCATAGCCAGGAGTTGCTGCGCGTCGCCAAGTTTACCTGTAGCTGAGACCCTGTCGGATCTTCGAAGTACGCGTTGATCGCTTTCTGTGAGTCGAGATTGTTTGCCTGTACGCGATAGAATTAGCTCGATTTTACTTATCATCCCGATGGCAGTCCTCTACCTTCAAGAAGGCGATGGCTTGCTCGCGTGTGGTGCTTGTGAAGCTGACGAAGCTGGTGATAGCTTCCTCGGTCGGTTCGGAGGCCATGTTGTTGTTGTCTAGTTCTGCGCTGAAGCTAGACACCGATAGAATAATGAATAAGCATGAGAGGGACACAAAAAGCAAATAGAACAAAGCAAATGGGGACAGAAGAGTTGGGGAAGAGAAAGACAAAGTGTCGCAACTGAGCTTCCCCACCACATGACGCCAAGCATCATTCCGCTATTTGCGTCTCTTTGTACTTCTCCTTGTCCTCCCTCTGCCTCGATTCTTCACTTCTTTGAGCCTAAAATATACAGGATTGGACATTCTCGAACATTTCTTGCATTCCATAGCCTGTTCCAGGTTTATCAAGGCCCATCGGTCGGACTAGTTCACGTTCACAATGGATATATATATTTTTCTGGAACTGATTGTCTCCCTTTCAAGTCTTTGAACGGCCTACTCTGGGTCTTACACCACAATACTATTTATGGTTGAAACAAAACAATGCATTAGTACAATAGCTCTTGGGCTGTCGGTCCGAGTGGATATAAAAACCCCTCTATTCCGCGCCAGATAATCATTCATTACACTTTAAACAACACATCATCTTTCACTTTCACAAGCTCTCGAATTTTCTCATACTATATAGTTACAATGGCCTACGTACCCCAAATCACAAATAAGAAAGCCAAGAAGGTCAAGACAGTCAATACCCCCAATACCACCATTAAGAAGACCACCAATAGGAAGACTGCCAGGAAGAGCGCCAATAGGAAGACCACCAAAAAGGCTCCCAATCCTCCTGTTGATCTTAACAAGCTTTTCCCATCCTGGGGCTCTGAAGACGCACTGAACCAGACGGCAAATAAGGAAGCTACTGATATCATTCTAGCCGTGTACCATGACATCAATGCCTACTGCAACCTCGAGAGACATGCGAGAAACAAAGTTTACGGTTCTCAAGAGACGTTCTACAACCTGCTTGTCTTCACAGAAGGCTTTGTGGAGCGGGAAATCGGCTACTACACGTCCTGCGTGGAATCATTCAAGGCGGAACACGGTGAGTTCCAACCTGTCACACCTAATAGTAGATTCTTAGAATTCGTTACTGGGCTCGGGTGGAAGATGTTTGCTATCTTTTCCCATGCCGAAGCATTCCGACGGGGTATCAAAGAAGCCGACGATAGGACCTGGGGGCTCCTGCTCGAGAAGATCCACGAAAACTCCATGAGTATTGAACTTTATGCGCACAGTCGTACCCTGAAGTGGCGTAATATTCTTCAGGTCTACCAGGACAACCCCATCCCAGGCCTGCCAGATATGAAACCCGAAATCGAGACATACATGGGATGGAAAGTCGACCACCCTCATCACACGGTCATCACGCTTGATGGCAAGCTAAAGGAACCCACATACAATGGCAAGTTACAGCAACACATCAACGAGAGTATCTATGATCCCAAGAAGTGGAGTGGTCAGAAACAGGACCCGACACTTCGCAAGAAGCCCAATGGCAGTTCAACCAACGTCGGACGCAACTGTGTTCTATGCGGTAGCCCTGTTTCTTGTGACTGCCGCTTGAAATCTCGGGCAGGAGAACTGGTTGAGCTTAGAGAATACACCGAGAAGGGTACTGGTGTCCGAGCGCTGGCGAGATTCGGGCGCGGTGATATTCTCGATATCTTCATGGGTGAGCTCCTTCCCCACCCCGCAGAGGATGTTTATCCTCTAACACAAAGCGACGACAAATTGAAGTTCTCCAATCTGTGTACAATTTGCCCTCACCAGTTTGGCAACTGGACTCGTTATATCAGCCACTCGTGCCGGCCCTCGACGCAATTCATGACTCGCACCATTGGAAAACGAGTTGTGTGCACGGTTGAAGCCATTCGCGATATTCTGCCATTCGAAGAGATTACTGTTAGCTATGGCAATAAGTACTGGGAGTCTGTCGGCTATAACTGCCTATGCGGACACTGCGATGGTTCTGGGACTGACTAGAAATAGATTAGCCAACTATATATTCTGCATCTTAGAGTTGAGAGCTGATTTTAATAGCAAAGCATTGAATAGACCCTTGATTTATTTTATTTCAACGTATTAATGTAGGACACATGTAGTGTCCACTCTAGTACCAAGGTGATAGGGTGATGTAGTTCCTCGGGTATCCCCGCAGTTCTGGGGGTGCGGGGAAAGCTATACTTTCCGCGGACTTACTCCGCCTTTTGCGTCCTTTTCTCCCTGCTGTTCTAAATCCCTTCATTTGGAGAAGTTGACTACTACCTATCGCATTGCCCTACACGACTGATACAGTCAATTTCAGCCCTCAAGTAGTCATGAAATCTTGGCCAAGCTAACATTGGAATAAAACATGAGCTACAGCGGAATTATCACGGGGCTGAGCCGGAGAGGCTGTACATCCTGTCGGAAGTGTGTGCTTGGAGGAAAGAGTGTCCTTCAGCAAGCATCCTTGGTCAAGAGAGGACTGCTGACGGAGAGCTATGCGCGGGGGCCATCAGGTGTAAGTATTCTCTATCTAAGAACAAGGAAATAACAGTATTTATCTGACCGTATTGCTTTCGATATAGCCGCCCTTGATTGAGTCCACAGTTGGGGACCATTTCGCCAAGATTGTCGCGGAATGCGGAGATAGAACAGCGTGAGAACCGGGACGCAAAATTGGAGAATTAAGACTGGAAATATTAACTATACTGTCCAGTGTTATCTCGAGACACCAAAAAGATCGAGCTACGTATGCCTCCTTGGACACAAGAAGCAATGCCCTCGCCCGGGGGCTGGAATCACTGGGCGTTGTGAAGGGGGAGCGGGTTGGAGTCATGCTTGGGAACTCGATTGAATACGCTGTGGTACGTTGCGTGTCCCTAAAAATGGTTGAGAAGAGAAGAACAAGGCTTACATCCGTGAGCAGGCAACATATGCGTTATTCAAACTTGGCGCCGTCTTGGTAAGTCAGTCCGCTCATTGTAGTAAGCGACATTGTATCTAATCATTTGATAGGTTCCGCTCAATCCGTCTTTCAATACTGCACAAGTGATTGCGGCCCTAGGTCACCTAGGATCCGGTCATCTTCTAATCAGTACAGAGTCCAACCTGCCCCGAAAACAACCGCGCAGTAATGTTCCCTTGCTCAACGACATTGTTGAAGACCTCCACAAGTCAAACCTGGAGTCCGCATTGGTCCCTTCTCTGAAGAACATCATTATGGTCGATAACTCTGAAGGCCGCGTGGATATATCTTCCTATAAAAGCTTGACGCCGTATGCATCTATTGTGTCCCAGCTTACTGCAGACGGCCGCCCACTTCCTCCCCAGAATCTCTCGCCGGATGAAACTGTGAATATCCAGTTCACGTCAGGAACCACATCAATGCCCAAGGCAGCATGCCTTACCCATCGCTCAATTCTAAATAATGGCTCTCAGATTGGCGATCGCATGCTTCTCACGCCGAATGATATTGTCTGTTGCCCACCACCGCTGTTCCATTGCTTCGGCGGTATATTAGGCTATATGGCAACAGCAACCCACGGCTCAGCCATCGTCTTCCCCAGTGAATCTTTCAATGCTCGGGCTGCACTAGAAGCTGTTCAAGAGGAGAAATGCACCGCGCTGCACGGTGTACCGACAATGTTCCTCGAGGAGTTGAGCATGATCGAGATGGGAGAAATCTCCAAGGAGGGATTCCAGTATCTTCGCACGGGAATCGCTGCTGGAAGCAGTATTCCTTCCGAGATCATGAAAAAACTACACAAGGTATTGAACCTGACCGAATTGACGATTTGTTATGGAATGACGGAAACAAGCCCCGTCTCGGCTATGACAACGACGGATGATCCCATCGATAAGCGGATCTACTCTGTCGGAAAACTCATGCCACATGTCGAGGCAAAGATTGTGGAACCGATGGACAAGAAAGAGATTCTCCCCATAGAGACACGGGGTGAGTTGGCAGTAAGCGGGTACCTGCTGATGAAGGAATACTGGGATGATCCAGAAAAGACCGCGCAGGTGATGATACCAGATGAGTCTGGAAAGTTGTGGATGCATGTGAGTCTAATCATCTATTATTTGTCTCAAGTAATGCGAATTTCTCTGAACTGTGCTTTTAGACTGGAGATGAAGCTTCCATGTCATCGGATGGATATATCACTATCACCGGACGGATCAAAGATCTGATTATCCGCGGTGGCGAGAATATACACCCCCTAGAGATCGAGAATTGCTTGCTAGCCAACGATAGCGTTGCAGATGTGTCTGTCGTTGGCGTCCCCGACGCGAGATATGGCGAGGCAGTGGCTGCCTTCGTTATTCCTCGGGACCACGGCTTAAAAACAGTCACTGCTGAGGATATTCAGCAATGGGTACGTGAGAAGCTTAGCAACCATCTTAGTAAGTTATAACCCAGACCTTGGGACTGCTGCATCCTTTCCATCGTTTGCAGCTGGTCTTCGGTCATCCTCAAAATTGCCATATAGACCGAGCTGATGTTTTACTTGCGTATAGTTCCGAAGTATGTCTTCTTTTTGGGCCCTTTGGAACCTTTCCCTAAGACAGCAAGTGGAAAAATCCAAAAGTTCAAGCTCAGGGAGAAGGCCATTGCACTTTTGACTAAGAGCGCTGCATAAATAGCGAGCATACAAGGCCGAGGCCTGACTTTGCATAGATTCTAATGGATGAGTGCCTGATTTCTGTACATACTTAGTTATTCAAGCCTTATTAGATAGAATTGTCGTATGATCAAGGTTAAATTAAGAGCCTGAATAGATACATTCATACTGTTGCCAGATTAAGATTCAAAGTAGAGTGTTCGCTCTGAAGTGAACCCTGGATCATCAGAAATGGACAACAGACAAGTACCAAGTGCAAGAGCCAGTAGTTGAAGCATAAACCTAGAAATGTTCTCATGGCAACATAGAGTTTTCCGCGATGGTGTCGGTGTGAGTACCTGCTTTCTTTCAGGATATCAAGTCGTGGTAGCCAGTGGCCATCGCGGACACTTTCAGACCTGCCACATCTTAATGACGAACACGAAGCTGTCGATGGGGTAGGTAGCTCGAAAGCAGTATCAAATCCCTCTTCTGTGGCTTTCAAGGGCGGGTCGTTTCAGAGATAGCGCAGTGATGTCAGTCAGACCAGCACGAGTAACATGTATAACATATCATGTAGCCAGTGAGCAAGCTTGCTGTAGCACACATCTCCAGGGCACGTGCAACGAGGTTTCTCTAAATCTAGAAATCCTGAATGCCTGTTTCTCCCTGGAGATTTGGGCGAGCGCCGTCCTCGCAAGTGCCGTCAACCACCCATTCAGGCTCCTCATCCTCGAAATACTGGTCTTGCTCATCCGAGTGATCATCATAGTCGTCATTTTGATCAACGGTCTCGTAATCGAAATCAGAGTCATTACCCTGCATGAAACGCAATCCCATCTCCCAGCGCCAGAGCCGCTCGCCTTCCTCCTTATTTGGGGGTATTTCATCACGGTCCTCAGCAAGGATCTCCCCATCTGGGCCGCGAGTATAGGTCATCATAGCGTTAGGGTCTGGGTTTGATATCGCGTCCATCTTGGCTTCAGATCGCAGGAGATCAGTCTCCAGGACGCCTGAAAACCCCTTGGCTCGCCCCTCGGCCTCTCTTTCTTGTGCTGTCTGGAACCGGCGGATGAGGCGATCGTATAATAACGGGTCTGCGGAGAAGTCGATTAGGATTAGCATTGTGTTTTCTTGTTCGCTCCTGTATGCAAAGCCAGCTGGCACCAGTAATAAACCAGGCCAGATAATTTGTAAAATGATTAACTGGCAATGGGAGAGAAGAGATCAGGCGGACCGGCTAGCTCAAGCCCCGCCGAGAAGTATTCTGGGTGCAAGTCCAGATACCGCTTGCGACGGTTTTTGACTGTGACAGCTTTTTGTGCGCTAGACGCATCTTTGGCCGTAAACCCAGAATCCTTGGGGAAATGTGGCATCTTTGGTGTGTTTCAGAGTGTGGAGATGGATAGGAGAGGAGAATGGAAGTTGGGAACGCGGAGCTCAGCGGCAAAAGTGCCTTCACCTCCGCAATAACTTTTTTCTCGTTGAAGAATATTTTGAGATGTATCTGCTTTGAACGTGTAAGTTGGGGATCTCATTCAAAATACCTTTTCATTATTCTATGGATGTTTTTTTGGCAATAAGGGGGAAAGGACACAGTTTCAGGTTGCTAACAAGCCTGCAGATGCGCTTTCTAGGTTGATTTCCCGTATATCCAGAACTGCATCAGCTGGAAATAATGTCCCCCCAGGACATGTTGCGGCACATTGATGCCCGGCGGTTCACTACCGGTGTGGTTTTGCTGATCCTGCTTGCCTTCTACTCGCCCCTTTCGAAGCTTGTCTTGTCTCCAACATATGGATCCTTCCCCGCGCATATCTTCCATAATTTTGGAGTGGCCATCTCCGGCGGAATCGGGTGGCTACTGAAGGACAAGATTCTCAAGCGCATGGGCCGTCTAGGTGGCTTTATGCTCCCTGTGTTGGCATTCTGGGTTCCGACTCTCCAGTACTTTATCAAGCAGCAAAGCTCTAAGATTGGCAACCCCACAGGCCCAGTGGTCACAGAACTTTGTGGTTACTACCCTCTGGTGCTGTTGACCGTCGCCTATGCCGGAAAGCAAATCCAGACTGCTTTGAGACTCGAAGCGCAGGGCGACGTGATAGTTGAGCATGTGCCCCTGATAGGTACATATATATTCTATTCGGCTGGCGACCACATTGCCCAATATGTTCTTTCATGGATTGTTGGGACCTCGGTTATTTTCACCAGAGTTGGCATGCAAATGCTTCTCGCGGCCTGTTACTCTGTGCTCATCCCATCAAAATGGCTAGTCCTGGCCATTCCCTCTATCATTTTCTCAGTGACTTCGAACGTACATTTCGCTGGAATTAGTGGTGTCAATTCCGCGATTGAGCACGAAGGTTATTCTCTTTTGGCACGACAGGAAGCTTACAC